TAGGTGGCAATCACATTATTGTCTACACTGACTCATCGTATTGCAAGTCATTAATATATGATAAACACATTTAGGCTGGAGATAGAACAATATATTTAATATGGATAAAAATAATGTTACATAAGTAAGACCACGCCTGCAAGGCCGAATTATGCCATGCGATCAGTTAATTGAATTCCTTCTTCCTGCCTTCTCCATCGTTGGGTTTTTCTCGGCGTTATATATCCATTTTCCTAGTTGTCTCGTGTTCAGCTTTGAGGATTATGTGGTTAGGGCCAATGCTGCTATAAATGTCATACAAGGAAACGAGTTTATTTACTACCCTTATATATTAGCTTCTGCTTGGAAGAACATTCCTTTGTTTTATTTTCACGTCATGTATTTTCAATCTATTACTTTAGTAAAACGACTTGAACATCAAATGTAAACCAACTAAAGAATTAAATTTCATATTTTCTAGGGTTATTTAAGATTTCTGCGGTTTGATATGGGATATAAGTTACATTTTTTAATTACTGTGATATTTTTCAAGTGATTTTAAGCTTCAATGGAGCAGTCTAATCCGGTACCCAGAGAACTTAGAAATAAGTTAAAGGAAAAACCAGTTTAATTATGGTTGAAAACATGTCATATGATATATTTTTCAGGTTCATCGGTTAATTTAGAATAATTGATTTCATTTTTCCTATTCACAGTGTTAATGATCACGTTCAAATTGTACCGATCAAACTAGGTGTGGAGTACCAAATTCAGTATTTGGTCAAAAGCATAGGTTTCCCAACTGATACTCTGAAAACTAGTTTTCACTGCAGAACAATATAAACCCACAAAACCTTGAAACTCAAAAAGCATAGGGTAGCCAGTTTTTCTGAGACTTCTATAGATTTATAACCTAAAACATGATATTCGTCTGAACCCCAGTCCAACAGACAGAACGATGGCTACGATACTTTTACATAATTGTATCAGGAACAAAGTGTTAATATTTGAAAACTACAGTCAACTTGTGATATTATGAAATAGCTAAATGATAACATTTGTGGTATCAGTAATAAATACATGATCACTAATATAATTCGTAAGTAAATATTGCTCATTTTGAGGTGTCAAAAAACTGAAACATTCATGGTCAATAGAAATTCTCTCTTATTTTGCCGGAAAAAATAACCACAACAGAAATTAAAATACGCACAGTTAAGAAGTTCCTTGGTTCTATGCCATAAAATTTTAAATAATCATCTTCACTTTTATAACATTAGATTCCGTTTCCATTTCAAATTTACTTCATTACAGTAACATATACAAATTCTGTAAATTATATGGTACACATTACCATAGAGGTAAATGCACAAACTCTTTAGCTTGGTATTTTGCTTCTAGATTACATCTCATCTTTATGTGTTGCTTTTATGGTATTTATGCCAAAGCTATTCAAAATAAGTCATTTAGTAACACAAGAAACTTTATAGTAATTAAAGTCAATTTAGATAAAAATTGATTAAAGTAAATACTCTCGTGATTATTTCATGTTAATATATTAAATTACAATGAAAGTAAATTAGACATCTTTGGATGACATTCTGTCCGTACTTATACAGTAACTGACCTCTATTCGAATTCAGTGCCCCCACATGCCCTGGTACGGCCGAGAGTGGGGAGAGTCCGCTCTACCTCGCCAAATGCTCTCACATGGTTACGCGTATATATCCTCTGCCAGAGAAGTCCTACTCACTACCTTCTCGTGGCGGTGGTGTTGTTTACAAAAATGAGAGGACGAAAAGCGAATGTCTGGCGCTTTAACCGGATTCCAAACCAATGGTGTACATGGGATCCAGTATCCTAAAAGAACAAATGGCGTAGGAACGAATCGTTGGTCACCGGCTACCATGAGACTGAATCTCCTTACGTTTCTCCATTGCCTTGTGGATCGGACCTTCAAACCGAAGGCTCCGGGTGTGGCCCCCTAAGAAAACCACCTGGTTCGGTTAGGGCACCCGGACAGTATCACAGCTCTCACACATATCAAATAAGATTTGTGTGGCTCATATGTATCTGGTGCCTCATTGTACCAATATCTATATGTTAAAATAAATTCGAATTCAGTATTCAATCTTATTTAACTTTTCCTTATAGCATAGAATCTGATCTAATCCAAACGTTTAGTTTATTTTATTTTGAGGAGACAAAACTAAGACAATTTTATCTTTGTTAATTTAACCACTAGCATATTTATAGTTTTCTTACTAACTTTTCCTAAGTATGAATAAGCGTTCTATAAATAAAATACTGTATCTAATACAAATTCATGTAGCCTCAATCAAGCTCAATAATGTTCAGAGACTTTGAGGCATTTCACTTCATCGTTATCTTAGTTTAGTAATGTTCTATTTTTGTTCACAATTCATTAGTGTAAATATTAGTCCATCGACTGATAAGACTTCAATTAGAATGATAATATACATTGTGTTATGGATTAAGTATTAAGAATTTATTGTTCTCACTGTTACTTGCAATCCAAAGTGTGAATTAAATAATAATAATAATTTGTATTCTGTACAGTTGTTCGAATAGAACATGACACTTCAAAATCGGATAAACAATTTCTTATTATTACATACTCATTGTTCAATTCGAGACTTTTACAGGATGGCCTACTATAATAATGAAAACATTTATTACAGTCAGTTATGTTCCTATAGAAATCGTAATCTATGGTACAATTAATTCAAGAACTTGAAGATATATTGGTTATGATAGAATCAGTTAATATTTTGTGGAGGCCCTTTATTTTATCGTTATTGAGATCGAACGATGTGGTCGAAAGGGCTCCCCACTTTAGTGGCCCTAAATCTGACTCCGAGATTATCGTAATGAATGTTTGTTATTGTCTATCCTCGTATATAATCATCGACTTAAATCGCGTTAGTCAATAACGGGATTAAATAAGTCGAATAACGGGAATGGACTTGTGAATACATATATTTTGTATATAAAGCGAATGGAATAAAGAGAAGAGAAACGACGAGCAGTGGAGATGGCGGGTAAGCCAACTCCCATTTAACCAAGAGTTAATCACTAGTTATAGTTACACAAAAGTAACCTACAGACATGTGATGAGTAATGGGATAAGAAATGTACACAAACTTACGCACTCATAAAAACAGTCAAGACTGATAAGCGAATAAATAACAAGGTCAGAATGTGACTCAAGTAGAATGAATAGAATGGGCTGTCCGAAAGCTAGAATAAGGTATATGGGCTTAACATAATAACCGACACTAAAATACTAATCTCCAAGTTTCTTATAACAATTTTTCTCGAAGCTTAGAAATGAGAAACCCGATGATGGTTAGAAAGACACGTATCATTTGATTATAGACAAAGGTAGAGTAACTTAGGTCTTTTAAACAGACTATCTACAAGAAGAAAAGCCTTTTATGCTATATTATTATCCTATAATCTAATGGAGATCACTTTTCGTTCACCTTTACTAGTTGTATAGAGTAAAACTAACAAAATCAATATCATTAACAAATGTAAACGATATGATTTATTTTGGGGGCGATTATTTACTATTACAATCTAAACAAATAAATACATCAAATAGCATTAAGTATGATGCACAACCAAGTGTATTGGGTAAAAATTAGTTATTTCATAAGAATTACTTCGAAATTTGATGAACACGGTGGATCTGATGCCGATGTGAAGGCGCGGATCGGCAAAACAAGAGCAGCATATTTACAACTGAGGAACATCTGGAACTCAGAGCAACTGTCAACCAACACCAAGGTCAGGATTTCCAATACAAATGTCAAGACAGTTCTACTGTATGGGGCAGAAACCTGGAGAACTACGAAAACCATCATCCAGAAAATACAGGTGTTTACTAACAGTTGTCTACGCCAAATACTTCAGATCCGTTGGCCAGACACTACCAGCAACAACGTACTGTGGGAGCGAACAAACCAGATTCGAGCGGATGAAGAGATCAGGAAGAAGCACTGGAAGTGGATAAGATACACATTGAGGAAAGCACCCAACTGCGACACAAGACAATCCCTCACATGGAATCCTGAAGGCCAAAGGAGGAGAAGACGAAGATCAAAGAACACACTATGTCGAAAAATGAAGACAGTCATGAGAAAAATGAACAAGAATTGGATGGAACTAGAAAAGAAGGCCCAGGACAGAGTGGGTTGTAGAATGCTGGTTGGCGGCCTATGCTCCATTGGGAGTAACAGGCGTAAGTAAGTAAGTAAGTAACTTCGAAATATTTAAAGACACGTCATAAGCTATACCATTTCAACAAGGGAAGCTTCTTAAACAGTTGACCGACTGCATAACCAAAAGAATTATTAAACTTAACTAATAACAAAATAATATGCTTATTTTAAATCATGAATTTCAAAACTGTGATTGGTAAAACACAAATTCAATATTAGAAAGGGTTTTTTGTAGATATTATAGTAATTTTAATAGTTCAGATCATAAGTCAATTGAAGCTAGATCATCATAGAAAACTTGGAAGCACTGGACGGTTGTTTCATTCTATTAACTCAATAGTTCATAACCACATTCATACACTAGATTCTTTGTTATTTATTTCATTTTAATCTAATTCAAGCTTAGAGAATGTATAATTATTAAATAGTAAATATGAGTTTGAAATACTCCCATTTTACTTATTATGTAATCTTTTCCATTGTTATCATTGACTTATAAACTACCTTGATTGGTTTAATAATTTCGTATATGCATATAAATATTACTGTATATTAGAGTAAAGCCTGATGAGGATCTAATCGAAAACAATGTTGTTCGCTTATATACGTTGTTCTAAATATGAGTTTGTAGCGTGGAGTCGAGTCGCGGTTGACTATGAACACCACTAAAAGAAGACTACGTGCCAGTTAACCGATAAAATCCCCCGTAAGCTAAATACCAGAAGGCAGTTGATGGCTGTAGTCGAGATGTATTTGTTGGCAATCTCGTGGTATCGAAAGGATACCGAGATCGTGCCAAAAGAAGTACAAGCTTGGTTACCGAGCGTAACCAAACCCGTGCAAGGTCACAATCAAAAGATAATGGAGCAATAATAGAGTAGGAATATGGATGTCTTTAGCACAATAAAACAATCACTGGTACAATTGATTATAATAATGATTGTTTCCATTAAATCAATCGCGTTCTCTTGGTAAAAGTAGGTCACTACGAGTATATGAGAATAACCCAATAATAAACCAATCCAACCAAAACAATAGAAATTAAAGTGCAAATTCGAAATCAATAACAATAATATAATGAAAGATTGAAATAAACAGTAATAAAATGTTTCAAGTGTATAAGGTTTAGAAATTCTACTATAATTGTATTTGCAATAATTTGTTTGTGCTGTTAAATAAAACGTATTAAAGATATAAGTATGTTGTTGTCGTTGTTAGCGGTGGTGGTGGTGGTGTTCAACTTTCAGAGGTATAAACATTTAGGAAGATAAATAGGATCTATTTATGTTACAATGCATTACATATTATCATTCGTTTGTTTTTCTAGAAAAGAAATCGATAACCAGAGTTATACTAAATGCAAACAGCCTAATTAACTAGTGTAAATGATTAGGTGATATAGGTCAAAAAAAGGGTTATTATCACCAAGTAATGTATTGAATGAAATCTGAATATTAATGATAAATTTTAAAAATAGTGCAATATCTTCATAAATATCTATAGTTTACAATAAATAGTGAATTTACCTTGATAAATATTGAAAGTAGGAAGAACTGGAGAATTGTTTATACCTGGTACAAAGAAATGACGAAGCACCTATGAGTCTGGTATGTGATGTTCATGGTTCAAAGTGACCTCGTTAATTTCAGATCAACAAGTTAGAATCAAATGATCTATATTTCCAACTTCAGTCGGACTTTTGATCTATGCAATGATTATTTACTTTTTAAGTAATAGCTATTTTACACTGATGCTTTAGAACTCCATTAGTCACAGGTTCTTATTAGAACTCCAAGAAGTGTTCTAGGAGTTAGTCTCTCATAAACCCATCATTATTAAGATAGGCTTACAGAGATTATTGAAAAACTAGTAGAAAATCACAGAATGACCCTCACTAAATAATTGTGCTGATGTTGAGTATGTAAATATTAGTATGTCAGCTCGTCAGTCTACAGGTGATGCTATTTCAGCAAGACCATAAGTTAAAGGGTTCAAACACTAACGAGGTCGTTAGTACATATTATTAAGGATTCCTACAGTGGGATAATACAGCTGTTCTGATTTCCACGATTTTCAATAGCTGTCTAGTTAAGATTAGTTCCAAATGTGAACCATAAATTAAACAATCCTACTAAACTTCATATAATATCAAATAGACAAACCAGGTGATTTTTTACGTATCGTAAGTTGTAAAACTAAATTATCATAGATTCATGACTCATATCTGTTACATTCTGGTGGGGATAAGCATAAACTTGTATTATCAGAAGAGGGTTCTGTGGAGATTTCATTAATTTAGTAGTTGAATTCATTAGTCAATTGAAAATAGACCACCACGGAAAACCTGGAAGCACTGGACGGCCTTTTCGTCCTAATATGGGACTCCTCAGTAGTGCGCATCCACGACCCCGCCCCGTGAGATTCGAACACAGGACCTATCGGTCCTACGCGCAAACACTTAAACTCTAGACCATTGAGCCTGCATCCAACGGTGTTAATATCTAAATTCAACCAGTTCACGAGATTGAGCCACGGTTCACCGTTACCTTCAGTGAGTTACTATCTCACGACAGACCTGATTGAACTCTTCTGGTCACAGCTTCTCACCAGCTTCGTTTGACTCACGAATTCAACAATTAAATAAACTTATATATTAAGTTACCATTATGGGTAATGAAGATATACTTGAAGTAGGGAAAAACTTTCAGTGGAAATTATTTGTCTTCTGTTCTGGCTGTTTGTAATTACTCCTTAGCGCAGTATAGACTATTATTCAGTTTACTTTGATTCTGATTGTCAAATGAATATTTCACCTGTGCTAGAAATAATGAATTCGACAGAAAGTTAAATACACTTTTCAGAACTATGAAACTAAAAGTCATAATTACTTAGAATCAAGATGGTGTTTAATTCGCCAACATTACGACTAATGTTGAAATTATTCATTTTAAAAAGTAATAGCATAAAATAGTTGTAGTATAAGTAAAAATTATAAATTAAATAGACTAACAAGTTTCTATTCAATTATATCTTCAGAACAAATTACATTGAATTGCTTTTACACTGATGCACTCGTATCAATCAGCATCATTGCTTTATAAATCATAAGGTTGACTTGGTGATATTCTGTGAATTAATCTCCTTTATAACAATGGAAAAGGATTAACCAAATACGATTACTTCTTCGATTATATATATATATATATATATATATATATATATATATATATATCAAACATTCATTTATCTAGAGAGTCGATAAGAGTATATAGTATAGAGAGGCATTCATAAGCCTATTCACGACATTTATTTGTCAATTATTTCATCTATGAAAATAGACTACTCATGAAACTGTATGTAGAAAAGTAGATAGATATATAATTTTAAGCATTCAATGTACCCCTACATGCCCTGGTACGGCCGAGAGTGGGGAGAGTCCGCTCTCCCTCGCCAAATGCTCTCACATGGCTACGCGTATATAGCCTCTGCCAGGGAAGTCCTACTCACTGCCTTCCCGCATCATGTGTGTTGTTTACGAAATTGAGAGGACGAAAAGTGAATGTCCGGCGCTTTAACCGGGTTGGTGGACATGGAGAGTTCACCTAGGGGAGTTGGAAAACCCTCATTCCAAACCAATGGTGTAGATGGGCTCCAGTATCCCAAAAGAACAAATGGCGTAGGAACGAATCGTTGGTCACCGGCTACCATGAGACTGAATCTCCTTACGTTGCTCCATTGCCTTGTGGATCAGACCTTTAAGTCAAAGGCCCCGAGTGTGTCCCCCTAAGAAAACCACCTGGTTCGGTTTGGGCACTCGGACAGTATCACAGCCCTCACACATATCAAATGAGATTTGTGTGACGCATATGTATCTGGTGCCACATTGTACCAATATCTATGTGTTAAAATAATAAAATAAAAAGCATCCAATGTCATAACATTACTTGAACAGATTATAATGACACACTTAATAGCCAGAATAAAATAGACGATATGGGTGTATTATAAGAACTACTACAATGTTTTCAAACTATCTTTATATAAACAATGAAAAATCAATGACAGCGATTATTTCATTCAATTCTCACTATGAGATTTTATTTCTTTGAAGAAGATAGGAATCAATTTATTGTCAATAAAGTTTCTATCACTATGCATAATGAAGATAGTGACAGTGTTAATGTTTACTATCTCAGATAAAAAGAGTATTATTTTGAAAAAAGAGAAGTAAAGTTGTTTATTTAAATCTTAAAACAAATGCAAATAAAAAGGGTTAATGTTTCATGTTTGTTCAAACTAGAAACTATAAATTTAAGGCAATTAATACTGCGGTATATACTACTTATGTTTGCCGACATAAGTAGTATGTAACATTAATCAGAAGAGGAATGCATTGAAACAGAAGGCTATGTAGGTTGACTTGAAAGAAAAAACAGAAACAGAAATAGAATAAGGAATTATGAATTGAAAAAGTTATACAGAATATGAAGGACAAATGATGAAATTTTGTAAATGAAATATTCAGTGTATAATTTTCATATTTCACTATTAGATTCTGTAATTCTATATTAAATTAACTATCCACCATTTGTATTCTCGTTCACAACAATATGACTAAACAACGTGAATAGAAAGTGAAACTTTATTAGAAATTGGATGCTAATATCTAAACAAATTCTTGTGGAGAAAGTATTCATGATTCGAATGATAAATAATAGTATTAAATCACATAAAGTTTTTTATTCTAATTAGGGCAGTTCAACTATCTAAGGTTGTCTTTCTCCTGATGTTATTACCGATATACATATATATATATATATATATATATATATCCAAAGATAGATAGTAATATTCAAATTATTAAATGGTTCATGAAAGATAGAGAAAATAAACAGCCCACAGTCGTTTAAAATGTATCATTTATTTATTATTTTTATTTGAACACATAAATATTGGTACAAGAGGGCACCAAATATATATGCGCCACACAAAACAATGAGAATGGGAAGAGGAGAAGGAAAAAAGGTGGGGAGCGCAAAAAAAGAACAATAACGAACAGAATAAGGCAAGGTAGCCTAATAATAATAATGGGGGAAACGAAAACGTACAATCAGAAGAAATCTTTCAGTTAAGGAAGATACAACCACTTCTTATGAAGAAAGTAAAAGAAGGTTACAGCAGGATCACCATTGGCTTCTATTCTGAGCCATATCTGATATCGTCTCTAGCCACTGTGTTGCACCATCTCTAGAACCCCAGCCAGGGAGTCGTGAAAGACCAACAGAAGCCAGCCCTTCGTAGCTTTCTTTCATACCAGGACACCATGTCATACACTGATCACCTCTCCACTTTTTCCAGCCAGTCCCAGAGTCGTCAAATAATGCACGACGTGGAATTCTTTGAGACGACATTCGTAGAACATGTCCAAGCCACCGAAGTCGATGTTTTAAGATGGTGACACCGATTGAATTATCATCTCTGTGCTCGAACACACGATGCCGAACCTCTGCATTACTGACATAGTGTCGCCACTGGATGTCGGCAATCCTTCGGAGACAACGATGATCGAACACAGAGATTCGTCTAACGTCCTCAACTCGGAAAGGCCAGGTTTCACAAGCATAGAGCAAAACTGCTCTCACCGACGCGTTGTAGATCCGACCTTTCACAGCCAGACTAACAGCACCAAGGCGCTAAAGATGGCCCAGACTGGCACAAGCCGCTCTGGCTTTCACTATACGTGCATTGATCTCATCACTCACGCCACCTACAGCACTTATGCAACTACCTAGATACACGAACTCCTCGACTACTTCTATCTGCTTACCGTCCAGAGTGAGTACAGGATTAGAATGCTGCCAGTCTTGTAGAAGTACTTTGCACTTCGGAGGTGCAAAGCAAATACCATAGAGCAAAATATTCTTCTCGCTCCGAATAAAATGTATCGACTCGGAGTGATTATTCATAATGAGGTAATGAAGTATTTAAACTGTAGACTAATTACTATAGTGTATTTTGTATTAAAATGGGACCTAAAAATTCAGTTTTATAATTAAATCCTCTAATGTTATTAAGTTCTTCTACTTGGAATTACCGATATAAATTCTAACTGAAAATATATTCTAAGGTATGTAACGTACTTTAGCATCTAGTCATACTAATACCTTCACAATTATATTGATGGAATAAATACAGATTATTTTTTACTGACTATAGGAGATAATTGAGTGAAACAACAAATTCATTTAACATGAAAGTCTCATCAAACTTGGTAATTTTGATAAATAACAGAATCTCTGTATTTATTCGAAATCTCATTTGAT